AGGGAGGGGTGACCAAGGCGGTGGTGCCAAAGGAGAGTCTCGTGTGACAGAGGACGACACGAGCAGGGGGCCGACGCTGGACTAGACCTGGACGCGGAAGAAAACACCTGACCAGACGCGGCTACCTGACCAGACGCAGGAACCGGAGGAGACGCAGTAGTCAGTGTGTACAGACTCGACCCAGGCCGACGGGTGAACGTGGCCAGGTGGCGGCCTGTCCGAGAGCAAGTGCAGTGGGTCACACGCTGACCTCCAGGGGTGAACTGGTCAACCCACAAGTCCTGAAGGTCAGCTCCAATCACCAAGTTCGTAGAGAACGAGGGGAGGTGGAGTCCCGATAGCAAGCCCGACGGGGCCGCAGGACACGGTAGAACCGTGGAAGATTGCGCAAGGACTGGGCCCCCAGAGGGGTCAGCCAGGGAGACTGCGACAGGCCGACTGAGCGGCGTGAGTGTGGTGCTGTCGCGAAAGAAGGAGCGCGAAGCACCAGAGTCAAGTGTGAAAGTGTGCAAGGCCTCAGTAGGTGCAGTACCAGAGAGAGCAGACTCACTAGCACCTGGAGCAGCAGACTCACCAGTACCTAGAGAAGCAGACTCACTAGCACCTAGAGCAGCAGCCTCAATGCCCGGGTCGGGGGGAACACAAAGGTAGCAGTCACCCTCAGCACTATCAGTCACAGCATACATGGCAGCAAGAATAGCATCGAAATCAAGATCAAAGATAGCAACATTCTGCCTAAGCAGATCACCCCAGCGAGGGAGCTCAACAGCGTCAGGAAACTGGGCGCGCCAGGCGTCAGTCAGGCGACCAAAGCAGCGTTGCGCAGTGTGTGGCAGCCCGCACGTCTCCCCACGGCGCCCGCCAGTGCGAAGAACGTAAGTGCAGGGACCAACACCCCCAGACCTCCCACGCCCAGCGTACCACTCACGAAGCTGCTGGGCCGACGGGGTCTCACGGGAACGCGGCTGCTGCTGGTGCTGGCTACCACCAAAGCCTCCACGCTGCGCGGCTCCACCTCGACCAGTACCGCCACCGCCGCCACCTCCACAACCGCTGCCGCTGCCTCCACCGCCGCTGCCGCTGCCTCCACCACCCCCGCCGCCGCCACCAAAGCCCCCACTCCCGCCACCACCCCCACCTCCACCGCCACCCCCTCCGCCTCCTCCACCGCCTCCACCGCCGCCCCCACCGTCCCCTCCACCACCCTTGCCCCCCTTGCCCTTGTTGTTGCGGCGCCTCCCACTAGGAGCATACGCAGCCCCGACCTCCTCAGTGCCAACGAGGTCGACAGCAGCAGCAGAAGCAACAGAGGGGAGAAGGGGGACAGGGGAACACCCCTCAAAGAAAGGGGCGCGAGGGTCGCCGCGACAAGCACCTACAGCTAAGATACTCTTCTCAGCTGCAGTGAGGCGCTCCTCTAGCAGGTCGACGGTGAGCTCGGTGGGGCAAAGGGAGAGAAAGTGGTCCCTGACTGAAGCAAGGGAGTCAGGGAGGCGGGTGACTAGGTAGTAAAGGGTGATGTACATGGGGGGGGGGGGGGGGGGGTTTCTTGGCACAGAACTCAGTGGGAAGCGCAGCGCGGTAGCGGGCGTCACTAGTGCGGAGGTGAGTAATGAGGTCAGCGACTGTGGCAAAGGCGGCAAGGTCAGGGAACAGGTACGGCAGCATGAGGCGGCTGAGGGCAGCAGTGGCAGGGGAGGAGTAGCGCGCTACGACAGCGTCATACAAAGACTTAGCAGTCCTGTACTGGCCAAAGTGCGCGCGCTCAGCAGACGGCAGGTGACTACGAACAGCAAGGCAAGCAACAGTGTCACGAGTGGTCCACTACGAGCGAACCGTACTGTCAGCATTGGCAGCAGGTGCAGGAGAGACACCGGACGTGTGATCGAAAAGGGAGACTCCGTCCTTGGAGTCACACTGAAGAAAGAGCTGCAGGTCGTCAACCCACATGTCAAAGTCAACCGCACGCCCCTCAGCATCAAAGTAAGAACAGTAGGGCTATCCATAGCGGCAGTAGCAGCAGGAGCAGCAGTAGCAGTAGTGGCAGCAGAAGCAGCAGTAGCAGCAGGAGCAGCGCAGGCAGGGCAGTGCGGCTCAGTAGGGCGGCGCGGCGCGGCAGGGCAGCGCGGCTCGGTAGGGCGGCGCGGCTCGGGTCAGGGGCTGCTCCCGGGCAGCAGTGGCGCGCGGGGCAGGGGCTGCTCGTGGGCAGCAAGGGCGCTCGGGGCAGGGGCTGCTCGCGGGCAGCAGTGGCGCGTGGGGCAGGGGCTGCTCATAGGCAGCAGGGGCGCGCGGGGCAGGGGCTGCTTGCGGGCAGCAGGGGCGTGCGGGGCAGGAGCTGCTCGCGGGCAGCAGGGGCGCTCGGGTCAGGGGCTGCTCGCGGGCTGCAGTGGCGTGAGGGGCTGCTCGTGGGCAGCAAGGGAGCTCGGGGCAGGGGCTGCTCGCGAGCAGCAGTGGCGCGCGGGGCAGGGGCTGCTCGCGGGCAGCAGGGGCGCGCGGGGCAGGGGCTGCTCGCAGGCAGCAGGGGCGCGCAGGGCAGGAGCTGCTCGCAGGCAGCAGGGGCGCGCGTGACAGCAGGGCAGCGCGCTAGGGCAGGCAGTGCGAGTAGCTGCAGGGCAGCGTGACACTGTGCGAGAGGGCCGGACAGCGCAAGGGCGCTTCGGGCTGGAACTAGTGGAACGATCGGTGGGCCCAAAAAACTAACAGGTTTCCTGCTCTGAATACCATGTCAGAATCAACTGTGCAGGAATGGATGAACTATGAATGAGTTGGGTACAAGTACTAACCCTAAAGTGTTGTACCCCTTGTAGGCTAACCCACTATAGCCTAGAGAGAACACAAACATATAGTTTGACAGGGTAGGCGCCACTGGCGCGACGGGACGGGAAGCAGGGCAAAACGGGCCGCGCGCGTGTGGGTCCATATCTCTTAAAATTACAGGAAGGTTCCAGGATGGAACCAGCTCTGAAACCATATCAGAATAGTAGCTAGAGGGTGAGACTAGGAGCCATCCTAGGGTTTAGGCTAGGCATGACTATCGAGAGAATTGGAGCAAGAACGGGGTGGTTTCACTATAGAGAGTGAAGTACAAATAGGGGAGGAAAAGGGGTACACCACCAAGCAGGAAATTATGATAACTACATTACAGCTAGAACTACATGCAGTTATAACAATATAATTCTTATACTCTTGTATGTACATAGGAGAGCAAGAGAGTGATAAATCTAAATCTTAGAAGAAATAAAATTTGGGAAGGAAGGGGATAGTGTGCATGGTCCATAACCAATCCCCTGTACAAATCATATCATGTGAATCCCTTATACAGTAAGAACTAAAAGGAACTGGAAAACAATCCAGGGATTCTGTTCTGAGAAGTCTACCCCCCCTCGTAGTGTATTTCTTTTGTTCCACTTCGAAAGCCAGGTGAACCTCTATCGAAGACATTCATGCCTTCGAACCGACCCGAACCTTGACAGACTCACGCCCAGCGGTTTTGATGTGGTCCTTCCTCCGCCAGCCTCGGCCCGAAACTCCTGGATGTTGCCGACCCAACCCGGCAAACTTTTATCTTCCAAGGGGTCCCTGGAGAACCGAACCAGAGCTCCCAAGAGTCCCAACCAAGCCAAAGACCCACAGAAGATTCTCCTGACCCGACCTTGAAACTTGCGCTTCTCTATTCCTTGAAACGCGGCTGGCTCAGAGGCCTTGTTTCAAACCCTCTCCTTTCCCCTCGCCAGTTCTCCCGCCTTCTCCGCACGCCATTCGCAAGACATCTGCGCCATTTGCGCTGTTCCGCGCTATTCACTTCACTCGTCTCCGCCATTCCTTCTTCCCGCACCGCTTTCCACTTGTTTGTCGCTGGTGTCCACCTCAGTCGCTGCCAATTCCGTTGCTCCCTAGTGCTCCACATATCTTTTGCCCATTCCCCATTTTGAATTCGAACCAAGTACCAAGACTGTACTGAGACGTCACGCGCGCACACTCGATGTCCTCTGAAGAAACCGTTCTCAGCAAGGTCAGAAAAGCTTCGTTTGTAAAGCAGTGGTCTCTTTTAACCAATAGGATTGAGCGTTGGAGAGGTGTGCGAGCTGAAGAGGTTGACGACTACAGAAATAACGGTCGCACGTTGTCGCACTCATATTGCTTGTAGAGCAGTTGTAATGACACGGAACGCGGCCTCAGTCGCCGTCGCTCATGGTTCTTCACCCGTTCGCCGACGCAAGCAACACCACCACAACTGTCCGCGGTCGTCCTAACCTGTGTCTTGAATTCCTGACAATTTCTGCAGCAAGCATGTTTTGGTGTGCGAGCAAGCAGCAATTGTCTGTGCATGCATGTGGCAGAATGTAAAATTAGGGTTTGCTGCTAGGTGCGCACCACATGTCGAGTCTGTCAAGACTCGGACCACCACCAAACAATTCGTGTTCCCATAATTATCAGCAACTAGCACTTGAGATAAGTTATTAACGACGCCGTTAGGGATGCCGGTAGCGAAAGTGAGTGACGGGCGTGCTGGCCGTCCACCTAACCGGCCGAGCATGAAAATCCTCCTTCCGTCAGACTCGTTCGTGTTGAAACGTGCTGCGGCGGCGGCTGCCGCTGCAGCCGCTGCTGCAGCAGAGGCAGTTGACACGCATCTGGAAGTTCCGCCGGAGTTCGTATGTCCGCTGTCGTTACAACTCATGTCCGATCCAGCGATCGTTGCATCTGGTCAGACGTACGAACGGGCAGCTATCCAACGATGGTTCGACGAAGGTCACACTACCTGCCCGAAAACTGGCGATCGGCTAGAGCATACCCACCTTCTATCGAATCAGGCTCTAAGGGATCTGATTTCCTCCTGGTGTGACAGAAACGGGGTCACACCCGGTTTAGTCACTACGTTGGTCCCTGGAGCCGATTTCGGGCCGTCGTCTGGCGGTATTCCCGCAAGTTCCGGGGGAGGCGATGGCGGAAGCGGCAGCGCGCGCGGAAGGGGGAGCGGGTTTTGGTCGGAAGGCGGAATGAGCGAGGATGAAGGGCGCACTAGCAGCGCCAGGGGCGCGCGGAACGGCGAGAGGCCTGTGTTGCGCTCTCCCCGGGGGCGGGGGGGCGGAAGCGCAAGCGCAACTCCCACCGGCAGAGGCGGAGCGCGGATTCCCCAGTCCCCTAGAAACCCGCCGTTTGATCTCCGCTCCCGCACCCCCCCGCCTGGAAATTTCGCCGGGTTTGGGCGGGGTGGCGGAGCGGAAGGGGTAGGGGGAGTGTTGCGCGTGTCTAGCGCAGGGGAAGGCGTAGGCGCAGTTGTACGGATGGAGGGCGCGCCCAGTTGGCGGAAGGGGCAGGGGGGAACCGAATTTGGCGGAACGGCGGGTCAGGGGAACGTGCGCCTGAGCGGGTTAGGGGGAGGCGTTGGCGGAGGGGGGTTTGCGCGCAGCCGTGATGGCGGCGCGGGTTTGCGCCGAACGCACTCGGTGGAATCGAAAACCGCGATACTGGACATGTTCTTATCGGATGACGGTGAGGACGGTATCGAGGATACACGAAGACTTGCACCACAGCAGCAGCCGCTGCAGGGGCACGCGGCGAGGGAATTTGCAAGAGGCAGGAGAACCGCAGGATCTGAATCTTGGAGTGCATCCGACGACCGAGCTTTCGCGAACCTTCGGCAGCAGCAGCAGGGACAGAGCGGCGGTGGCGGCGGCGGCGGCGGCGGCCTTGCCCGGTCCGCCCTAAAGGGCATGGCGCACGCGCTCTCCCCCATGCGCGGAGGCCGCGCGGGGAACCTAAGGGCGGGAGCGGGGGGAGGACCCGGGGGAGGTCTCGGCGGAACTCTAGGCGGCGCAACGGCAGGCGGAGGATTGGGGGAAGGGCTGCGCCGAACCATCTCCCTGCAGCCCGGTGACACGTCATCCGCGCGCCAGCCAATCACAGCCTTCCACGACGTACTAGATAGTGTCCTGCTGGAAAAATCGGGCAGCGGGAGAGCGAACGGGCGTGAGGCAGGGGGGAGTGCGCGGACGGATGGGGTGTCCGCGGGGGGGGAAGCGGGGGGGAGCAGTCGCGGAGGCGGAAGCGGAGGCGCTGCACTGGCGAGGGATTTCGCCAAAAGCCCGCTGCATAGAAGCACGGCGCAGAACCCCGCGCAGACAGCGAAGCTCGCGCGCGGGGAAAGTAAGGGCAGAGGGGCGGGCGGAGGTTTGGGCGGGGCGCGCGGGGCAGGGGGTCTGCTTCGGGGGGGTTCATTGCAGCCGCAGAACTTGATACCTGGAAGAGGGGGCATGGGGGATGGGGGCGCCGGGCAGAATGATTTTTTGGCTGCCCTAGAAAGTTTTCATGGGGAAGGGAAGAGCGTGAGGTCAGACGGGGGGGGCATTTCTGGGAGGGTTATGAGCGGGGGTGGAGTGCGGTTGGGAGGGATGATGGGAGGTGGAGGAGGGAGCAACCCTGGCAGTTCTCGGGTTCAGACTCAGCAGGTGTCTCAGAGAAAGCATAGGTCTTTTGAATTTGAATCGAGGGGAGCTCATAACGAGGATGATGGGTTCGATATAGGTACAGGCGCTAAGGATGGTGGTCGTAACAGCAGCGCCAGGGGCAGCGGCGGCAGGCAGCAAATGAAGCCGAAATCGTTCGAGTTTGTGAAACGGGGCGCTTATAGCGAGGACGACGAGTTTGATTTCGATACGAGCAGCAGCGGCAGGAGCGCAGGGCACAGTGCCAGCAGCAGCAGCGGCGGCAGCAGCAGACAGCAAGGGCAGGGGCAGGGGCTGGGGCAGGGGCAAGGGCAGGGGCAGGGGCAGGGGCAGGGGCAGGGGCAGGGGTCAGGGCTAGCAAGAACCGGAGGTAGTAGGGTAGGCGGCGGAGGGGGAGGCGGAGGGGGAGGCGGAGGGGGAGCGGGAGGGGGAACGGGAGGGGGAGGGGGGACAGCAGGGGGGCCGAGAGGCGGGGGAGGCGGGATGGGGAACCCGATGAACATGGCTGCTGGATTTGGAAAGGCTATTGGCGGAGGGCTCAAAAAGGCGGGCGCTACAGTAGGAGACGGGTTACGCAGAGTCTCCACTGTAGCTCCCGCGTCCTCGTCAATGGATGATCCGTTAGGGCAGTCGTTTCACGAGGTGGTGAGGCAGCTTAAAGCGGGGATGGGGAAGGTGGTGCAGGGGGGGCAGCAGGTGCAGCAGCAGGTGCAGGGCCGGCTGCGTGGCGCCTCTGCTGCTGTTGCTTCTGCTGGTACTGCTGCTGCTGGTACTGTTTCTGCCGCTGCTGCTGCTGCTGCTGTTGGCGGTGTTGGTGCTAGCAATTCTCCCCATAAGGCACCAGCAGCAACAGCAGCAGCAGCAGTGGTTAAGAAATCCAGCAGCACGGGAGGTTCAGCAGTGGAGTTGATAGGCCTCGCGAGCACATACCCTCCCCGTGGAGCCTCTTCCGCTGCTACAGCCGGCACTACAGCCGCTACAGCCGGCGCTACAGCCAGCGCTACAGCCATCACGAGTCCCCCGGAAACTTCCGGGCAGGAGCGCACCTCCCGCCTCTTCCTGGGGCCTATCAGTCCCGGCAGCAGCAGCGACAGCAGCAGCGGGTTCAGCAGCAGCGGGGGAGGGCTCGATTTCCCCAGCCCTAGGGTCTCAGGAGGGGGCGGAGGCGCAGGGGGAGGGGGAGGGGGAGGCGGGGGGGGGAGGGGGGAGCGGAAGCAGCGGATCGCTGGAGATCAGAAGCCCCAGGGGGATCGTTTTCCTTGATGCGCGGAGCCCCCGCGGTGGTGGTTTCGGGGGGGGAGGGGGGGGCTTTGGGGAAGGGGGGAGGAGAGGGCGGGTGAGGGGAGGGGGGTCGGGGGGGAGTGGGGTGGGGCCGGGGTCGAAAGGGGTGGGCGCAGGGGCGGACGGCGGGAGGGGAGGGCTGGGGCGGAAGACTGGTAGCACAGGGAACGTACTAGGGCTGCTGGATATGATGAGGGGAGGGGCAGGGGGAGCGGGAGGGGTAGTGGGAGGGGCAGGGGCAGGGGGAGGGGCAGGGGGAGGATCAGGGGGAGGATCAGGGGGAGGAGGGGGAGGAGCAGGGGTGGGGGAGGCGAGTGCAGGAGGCCGAGGGGGAAGGGAGCGTTGGCCTTTGAGCCCTCTAGGGGTTGGTTCGTCAGACTGGACGAGGAAAAAAGAGCACCCGGATTCTCCCCAGCGCTCTCGGCAGCAGCTGCAGGATGCTCCTGGGGCAGCAGCAGCAGCAGCCTCGAAAGGTGCAGCTGCTGCTACCGCTTCTGCTGGTGCTGCTGTTTGTTCTGCTGTCGCCACTGACACATCGGATGAGGTGCGGGAGTTGCTTGCAACTATCCGCTCCTCCTCCTCCGCCTCCTCTACTTCTTCTCAGTCCAACAAGCCGTCATCTTCTTCTGACCGTCAGCTAAGAGAAGCCGTATCGTCTCTCCGATCGCTCCTTAGGAAGCAGCCTGCGGCGAAGGACATCACGGTGGAGTGCGGTGGAGTGCGGCTCATTGTAGATCTGCTCTCTGCTTCTGATGCGAAAACGCAGGAGCATGCAGTTTCGTGCCTGCTGCTGGTGTCTTTAGTGAAAGGAGTAGCTGGGGAGATAGCAGTGTGCAACGGGGTGAAGCAGCTAGTGAACTTGCTTCAAAGCGGCACTGTAGCTTCGAAAGAAGGCGCCGCAGCAGCGCTTTTCACTCTGTCGGTTAGCGAGTCGCTTCTTATGGAGGTAAGGGGGAGCGGGGCGGTGCCGCTGCTGCTGGATGTGCTTAAAACGGGGTCCACTAGAGGGAGAAAAGACTCAGCCCTTGTGTTATTTAATGTATCGAGAGACGCGGAAGGGGCGTTGGAGTTGGTTGAAGCGGGAGCGGTGGAAGTGCTTTTAGAGGTGCTTGCTTATAAAGAGTCGGGTTTGGAAGAGAAAGCAATGGCGGTGCTGGCTAATATCTGCCGATTGAAAGAGGGCCGGGCTAGGCTTGTAACAGCAGACGGAAAAGGCTGGGTCAGCGGTGGTAGTAGTGGTGGTAGTGGCAATGGTGGCAGTGGTGGCAGTGGTAGGAATGGTGCGACTGGTGGTGGTGTGGGTGATGCGATTGCAGTGTTGGTTGCTGTTGTTGCTAGCGGCTCGCCAAGAGCTCAAGAGGACTCTATTATGACCCTACTGCTGCTGGCAACTGGGGGGCATTTGAGGGGAGGTGGTGAAGGGGATGGTGGAGATGGGAACGGGGAGGAGGATGGAGAGGAGTTGGGAAGGAGGATGGTGGAGGAAGGGGTTTTGCCGGCTTTGGAGGAGTTGTTACAAAGTGATGTTTGCTCGGGGAGAGCGAAGGCGAAAGCGCAAGCGCTGGTTGATGTTCTCGAGGCTGATGAAGCAAATGGTTGAACATTTGTGCGATAAGCCATGGTTAGCAGATGTTGATTTAGGGTGATGATGTTTTTTTAACACTAATGAATTCCAACTCAACCAATAACCAATTGCAAGGACAAGTGTAGTGGAAATTGAATCAATTGATTTCCTACCGTGCATGCTATTTCTTAATCTTAGAACAGTATCATACTATATCATGTGTAAGGAAAATCCCTTTTCCTTCGCGTCCCTGCTCAGCGCGTACGCCACTGTTCCCGCCAACAGTACACCGTTACCACTCGACTCGACTACTGTTCCCGCCACTGTTCACGCCCAGGGCTGATTTTATCAGGGTAATTACCCTGATTTCAGGGTGATTTCAGGCTTTCCACTTCGTGGAGACTGAAATTTCAGAGATTGTGAAAGCTTGCTTTCTGCAACTTGTAAAGGCATCGTGCTTCATTTCATATGGCATCGTGCTTCATTTCATATGGGTATGAGTACATCAATCTCGTCCAATGATAACTACGATTACAGCAAGAATCTTAGAGACAATGACTACCTGGGTGGGTGGGTGGGAAACTCAAACTTCGAAATTGAAAAGAAGAACGTGGGTGAGGCCGAATGGCCTCAACCCCCTCTTTTGTAGCCAAAAGAGGGCGAGTAGCGATGCGACGCTGCCTTTGCTGCGTTGGCAATCGCTACACTTTCACAATACACAATTTTGAAAAGTGTTACACACTTTTAAAAATTTACATATTGTGAAAGCTTGCTTTCTGCAACTTGTAAAGGCATCATGCTTCATTTCATATGGGCCTTCTGAGACAAGCGAGTGGTCGGTCGGCGATGCCGCTGGATAGACAATTGGTGCTGGTTCGGGGAGGGAGCCCGTGTGGGATCCTGAATCAGCTGGGAGGCAGCCACAAGCTGGTCGTGTGCGATGGTGACGTAGAGGTCTTTTGCGTTGTCGCTGCGCCAACGGCCCAACCGCTTGAACATCCTATCGGAGACTCCGATGCCTGCCGCCGTCGTTGCTGCTCCTTTGCGGAAGGAGTGCGTGCCAAGGTGGTTGGCGTTGAGGCCAACCTTTTTGAATGCTTCCAAGCACCAATTGCGAACAGTTGGGTACGAAGGCGCGTGGTCGTGCGGAGTTGCTTTGAAGTCACGTGTGAACACCCGTATCAGTGGTCCTTTGGTCGAGGCGTCATAGCCGGCAAGCGAGATGAACTGTCTGGTGATATTTACTGGGCAATATGGTCCAGGTGTAGTCGCGATTGGGACCCATATTCCCTTGCCTTCTTGGTCCGTTTTGGAGTGGGGAATCAATAGCCACATCGCCGCCTCCTCGAACTGGATGTCTTGCCACTGAATTGCGACGAGGTCCGAGAAGCGGAGAAAGCCCGTGTACATGAGCAGTGGGATGAGGCCTTTCTGGAATACGGAGGGAATGTCGGATGCGATGAACTCGTGTGTCATCTGGTGAACCTGGTGAAGAGACACGGGTTCTTTAGTCCTGTTTGGGCGCGGGGAGTGGCGCTTGGCGAATTCTCGGACCTGGAAAGTGAAGGGGCCGTTCGTGGGACAAGTAAGGCCAGTCATCTTGTGTGCGACTGCCGAACAGGTCAGCGTGATGGCGGACAGGGTGGCGTGCTTGTTGAGGGCGTATACCAGGTACAGCGCGAGTGTCAAGTCTGTGGCGGGTAGGTAGCTCAGTGATAGCTTGTTACAGAATGATCGGAATTTTCCCCAGTAGGGGTCGTAGGTGCGGATTGTTGAAGGAGCTCGTACTTGGCTGATTACCGAGAGGAGTTGCTTTTGAAGGTTGGATAATATATCTGCCATACATGGAATATATATGAGTTACATTGTAAAGTCAATGGACAATGCAATAATCAGGCTATTGGGAAATCCAGTGCCTGAGAATGCGGCAGTGTGTGTGCCTGGTTGGAGGCACTGACTCCCGCTTGCGAGGCGAAGGTGGCTAGTAATTCCTATGGCCCATGTTTGAGGGGCCGGTTGCACTAGGGGCCACCAGGCTGCCCCTGACCACTCAGGGATCACCAGGGTTAGCTTTGCCCGTGTGCGACGCGCGTGATGGAGAGTTGCAGGGACGAGGTGGGGGGGGCGGAAATGCGAAGCCCCGTTCCCCGTGCCAATCCTTGGAGAATGCGTTGATGGCCTCGGCTCGCGGGTGAGGGACTTTAGAGAAGAAACGAGGCAGCAATGCGTTCTGTGCATTTGCGAACAGGTCGACGGAGTGAGGCCCCCACCGACGGTCCAAGAGACGAAACCAAGGTTGTTTCAACGTGTAGTCATCGTGGTCTTGCAGCTTTGAGAGCTCGTCCGCGCAATTGTTCTGATCTCTGGGAATCCATTCGATGGCTAGTCGCACCGCGTTGTCCGTGCATAGAGTGATGATCTCTTTGCAAGTGAGCGTGAGCTCATTATTGCGCGAGCCGCCTTTTCGTAGGATGAACATGACCCCTTGGTTGTCCACGCGAACCAACGTGTGGCCGTGTCGAAGACGGTCCATGAAGGTGCGTAGCGCCCAGAGCACGCCTTCCAACTCGCGTCGTGTACTTGAGGTTGGCCACAGGTTGTCGGGCATGCCAGCGCTTGCGTTGCTTGGTGTTCCGTGAAAAGTAGAGAGGGTGGCACCCCAGCTGTGCACGCTGGCATCCACCTGGATGATGGCGTCGTAGTGATGCGGATGATGGAATGGTGCACCGTTGAAACGGTCGAACTGTTCCACCCAGAAGTGCAGTTCGTGGATGGCCTCAGTTGATAACGACACCTTCGAGTGCCATGAGGGCGCGTTGTTGATAAGTTGCAATAGCTCGTGGCTGAAGGCTCGCGCGGTTGCGCCCAATGCGAGGCTCATGGAAGCAAGCATTCCAGTCACTCGAGCGATTTAACGAACGTTCACGTGGTGACCAGCGCGTCCGGAATCGATGAGACTTGTGATTGTCGCTCGTAACAGGGAGCGCCGTTCTTCTCCGACCGAGAATTTGCCGACTTGTGTGTTCAATTCGAGTCCGAGGAAGCAAAGCTCCTGTGTGGGGACCAGACGCGACTTTTTATCGTTGATTACAATGCCGGCGTCCCTCAAGTCTCTGACGATCTGTGCGCATGCGGCTCCCGCTTGTTGTGCGGTCTCTGCCAGGATCAGTATATCATCCACATACGGGATAACCCGCCACCCGAGAGATCGCCATCGTCGGGCCAGCTGTTTGATGAGTTGCGTGAAGATGAAAGGGGCCGTGGCCAGACCGAATGGCAGGGATTGGAAGAAGTAGTAGTTGCCTTCGAACTGGAATCCTAAGTACTTCCAGCAGGTGGGATGGATGTCCACGTGATGATACCCTGACTTGAGATCAACTGATAACATCCAATCGTTCGGTTGGATCAACTCCGCTACCCGGGCGAGGCCTTCGTACTTGAATTTTGGAATGCACAAGTGCTCGTTGACCTTCCGCAAGTCGAGGATGAGCCGACATTTTTCTCGTTGTTCGACCACGTTGAGTGGGCTAATGCATAGTAGTGTTGATCGGTCAGGAGCTTTTGCCGCTGCTCCTGTTCGCAGGAGGTCCTGAATGGCATCGTGTGTGAAATCCGAATGCGTCTGGGCGCCTGAGTGGTTTTTCCTTTCGAAAGGTGTCGGGGGCCCATCCTTCCATGGGAACCAATATCCGTGTGAGATAATAGACAGGATGAGGCTACTATCGCACCAGGAGCGCCACCATTGTAGTGCTTGGTGGAGCCGTCCTCGCATTATAAACACTGTCTTGTCGGTTATCGCGTATTCGTATGTTGAGAGCGTCGTCCCGATCCAACGGTTGTCAATTTCTGCATGGGGTTTTCATGCACAATCGGCTATCCCACAACATTAGCGCGTGCATGAGCAGTTGAGTAACAGCGGACCGCGCTCTTGGGCGTCGTGCCTTTGCACGAGTGCGACCACGTGTGTAGATGTGCGTGTGCCTTGTGTTATGTGTGTTGGTGTGTGTGTGCCTGTGTGTGTGTGTGTGTGTGTATGTGCGTGTGGGAGTATGTGTGTGTGTACGGGTGTGTGGGTGTGTGTGCATGTGGGTGCGTATGTGTGTGTATGTGAGTGTGTGTGTGTGTGTCTCTCTCTCTCTCTCTCTCTCTCTCTCTCTCTCTCTCTCTCTCTCTCTCTCTCTCTACCTTTATGGGCGTGACACGCCCTTGTGCTCCGTGAACTGCCTCGAGACCGACCGTCGTGTGGTCTGGCCTTCGTGGTGGGTTTGAAAGACTTGCCCCGTGGACACTCGCACGTATCCACGCACGTGGGCGAGTTGCGGTTGCATGATTCCTACCTTGAGTTTTTTTTTTTTTTTTTTGCATTGCACGGCTTGGCTTGCACCTAGTGGGGTGCGGTTCATGAGCCAAATGTTCTATGCAATGTGGAGCCCGAGAAAAAACAAGAGAGGGAGACAACGCTTTTTCTCTTGCTCTCTCGCCCTCTTCTCTCTCTCTCTTTCCCTTTCTCGCTCTCTCTCTCTCTCTTTGTTTTTAAGACGTGTGTGTTAACAACCACACAGTGCACAACCCTCCATGTTGTTTCTTGGGTCCTCCTGGACCTTGATGGGTCTCTTGATGCGTGATGCGGCTCGCGCGTCCTTTGATTTCGTATTAAGGTGTATGAACATTGGCTCGATTTTTTTTTTCACCTTTTTTTTTTCTTCTTCTTCTTCTTCTTCTTCTTCTTCTTCTTCTTCTTCTTCTTCTTCTTTGCTTTGCACTGGTTGTTTGCTGTTGCCCACATCATAGTGCAGCCCATCCTTGAGC